CCCCAAAACCCCAAAACCCCAAAACCCCAAAACCCCGTTTAAAATTTTTATAATGAATTATATTGATAAAAAGATCCAATGCAAACTTACATAGAGGGAGAAGATGATTCTCCCATGAGTAGGGATGAAGAGTTCTTAATCCATACTCCTACTCAGCCTATTCCATACTATAATGAAAAACTATTTGATATTATTGGAAATATTTTCAAAGTGAAGCCTTCAGAGCTCACTACAAAAATTCCAGAAAGCTTGATTGACAAAATATTGCTTTCTACGAATAGCAACGGAAGATACAATATTGATGTCACTTCAGAAGGAGCCCATTACTTTATGGGGTACCCTGACTGTAACTTTATGCACCAGCTGACAGCCATACTTACGTTATGGAACGAGAGATTGATTTTTCCAGTCACATACCTGACGATGGCTGAAATGGAAGACAGCACTGCTTGAGAAATTGAGAGATTAAACCAACTTACTGAAGAAGTAAATGATGTGTTCAAATCAATTTCCACAGAATCGCAGATAGATAGTTATAAATAAGGTAAAAGAGCTTTTGATTGCACTTGACATCAGAGGTTTCATGACGATATTCGGATTTCGCACTTCGCCAGGAAGCCAAGATGCGCCATGGCCCAAAAAGTCAGTCATACTTGATGCTGTTAATAAAAAGCACAAGAAGGACAGAATCAAGCCAAGAGTAGTGCATCCAAATAATACTTCAATCCTGACTGTAGGAGGAAGAGCCTTAGCCAAGCACAGCTCAAGAAGTGTCGATAAATTCTGGGGTAACTGTGATGGAAAAACAGAAAGCTACAAAAATGAAGCAGCTTTCGCAATTGTCCAGCAAATATTGAACGAATGTGTCTGGATGAATGTTCATATCATTCCGGGCGATAAGATCGTCATTGAATGTAGGAACAACTACAAACTTGATGATACCTTCAAAGGGTATGGTGTCAGATGGACTATCGATGGAGAGTTTATAGGGTTCTTAGATGGATATAGATCAGCAAGCCCATAAAATTTCACTCATTCTAAAATATAAGTCTCTCCAATTCTATAGCTTACTTTAGATAATAATTATATTTCAACAATCGTCGACTTTAGAGGGGTTTTGGGGTTTTGGGGTTTTGGGGTTTTGGGGTGTAGAGGGATGT